CAATTTTTTATCTCCTCTAATTATATAAAGTTAGGAAAAGAAAGGGACACAGAATAATATTAGCATTTCCCAGAAGGAATACATAAACCATGAGGACATTGCCACTCCTTGCAGTGCCTTTCGGACCTGCAGCTGCATTCTGCTCTTTAATGAGTATGAACAGTGTTTTACTTTGGCAGGTAGATGGATTCATGTTTGGTACAGAAGGGCAGATGGAACACATCAAAGTTCTAAATGTCTGCGATCGACTCTCTCCCTGCCTCACATCCAACCCTAAGGAGCCATTCATTTTTTTTTCTTTTTCTTTTTTTTTTTTTAAACTGGTACCAGGGATTGAACTCATGACCACGTGCTTGCAAGGCAGGCGCTTATGCTGCTGAGCTAAATCCCAGCCCCAAAAGAGCCATTCATTAAGCGCCTACTGTGTACCAGGCACTGTCCTAGCACTCTCTTTTAGAGGAGTTTTAGGTTGACAGAAAAACAGCAAGTACAAAGTTTTCATGCACTCTCTGCCCATTACCTATGCAAGGTATCCCCTCTCACTAACATCTCACATTATGGCAGTACATTTCCTGCAATTGATGAATCAATATCAATCTGTTACTTTCACCTAAAATCCCTAGTTTACATTAGGGCTCACTTTTATGTTACACAATCCTATAGAATTTGACATATGTATAATGACAAATATCTACTGTTATCCTATTATGTGAAATAATTTCACTGCTCTAAAAATCCCCTGCAGTCAACTCATTCAACCCTCCCTCCTCCTTGAAGCCCCTGGCATCCACTAATTTTCTTTCTATGTCTCTATTGGTTTTCCTTTTCTAAGAGGTCGTGTAGTTGAAATCACACTGTGTGTACCCTTTCTGGATAGCTTCTTTCACTCAGAAACATGCATTTAAACTTCCTCTATGTTTTCCATGGCAGATCACTCACTTATTTTTATCACTGAATAATATTCTATCATATGGATATATCAGAATCTTATCCATTCATCTATTAAAGAACATCTTGGTCATTTCCAAGTTTTTTGCAATTATGAGCAAAGCTGCTATAAACACTCACATGTAGATTTTTATTTGGACTTAAGTTCATAGCTCATTTGGGCAAATACCAAAGAGTCTTATTGCTGAATAGCAGGGTAAATATAGTTTTGTAAGAAACCACCAAACTGTCATGCAAAGTGGCTGTGCCACTTTACATTCCCACCAACAATAAATGAGAGTTCTTGTTATGCCATATGCTTTCCAGCATTTGGTGCTGTCAGTGTTTTGGATTTTGGCCATTACAACATGTTTGTGGTGCTGTCTCACCATTGTTTTAATTTGCAATTCCCAAATGACGCAAGATGCTAAACATCTTTTCATACAATTATTTGTCATCTGTATATCCTTCGTCATGAAATGTCTACTCAGGTTGATTTACTTGGGCTGTTTGTTTTCTTAATAAATTTTAGCGTTCTTTTGCATATTTTGGATACATGTCCTTTATCAGATTGGGTTTAGCAAAGAGTCCCTGCTATGCTATTGCTTGTCTTTTTATTCTCTTGATATCTTAGCACTTGTCACACCTACATTTTCTCCCGCCATTCTGAAAGCTAAATAGTATTGGTTCCTTTTGTTAAGGCAAAAAAAGCTAAGAGAGGTTAGTTGACTTGTTACATGCCGGAGCTAAGATCTATTCCCAAGTCTGCCCCCTGCTTCATAACTTTACATTACACACTTAAAGTGCATTCCCTTTGCTAGAGATCAGCCCAGATAGAGATGAATTTTGGTTATTTTGTGTTAAATTCCTTTCTGTGAGCCCAGAAAAGAGACACTATTTGGATGCCCTGCAGAGCCCAGCCCCCTACTGGAGTCATGCGGCCCTAACATGGCACGGCAGAGCCACTGTGCACTAACCCAGCCTCCTCTGCCATCCTCACACTTAGTGTCCCAGGACAGGGAAGGCTTTGTGTCTTCTCCAATGTGCTTGCTCTCCACCTTCACTCTGCTGCTCCCTCTAGTAGAAAATCTGCCTCATTGTCAGCTGATCAAGCCTCCTCCACTTTTAATTCTTCATTCATATGTCACTACAGGCAGCCCTCCGTCTCCCACTTTCCAGACCTTCAAGTTTCACTTCTGTGTATCTTCCACTCCACCCCAATTGACAGAGTCTTTAAGCGTGAGACTCATATGCAATAACACTTTATTTCTTTCAACTAACCTCGCACATAGTAGACACCTGTGTGTTCTTAATAAATGGGTGAATCCGAATTATTAGCAAACACCATCACCTCTATCATCTCTAAGGATGTTTATCTAGAAGAAAAGTTTCTTTTTGGCTTGATTTTTAATTATTTGTGCTGTCAGATTTTAAATCTCATTTATATATAATGATATATATATATATATATATATATATCTTTCAATATTTTAAACCAAACTTTCTGTTTCCTGTGGTATGTACCCTAGGGGCAGGTATAACTCAACAAGTAAAGGAGATTTCGAATCAATAAGTCATTAGTGAGACCACTAGTGAAAACATAATATGCATTTTCACTTTTTAAAGGCTGACAGCTTCTATAACTGCTGATAACAGGGCTTTAATCAGTTCCCAGGCCTTTTTCAAATCCTATCCTGCTGGGTCCCTTTCTCTCGGGCTAGACTACTGAGGCAACTGGGGACAGACATTTGCATAGACTCCAGCCGCAGTACCTATGAGATAACTGAGGTCCCTGGCACTGCACTGTAGCTTATAGAGAGAGTCACATGGCTTGCAGGTTCAGGGTCACATGGACTGAGAGAGGGGCTGAGTAACTTGGGAAACCTACTTATTCTCTCTGAGCCCCAGTTTCTTCATTGTTGAAAGGGAAAGTATCATAATACCACATATCTTGATATTATAAAAATTATGAAGCTGCTTTGAGTAATAAATGATTGAGATATTTATAGTCTCTGGTACTTACCATGAACTCAGTAAATCTTAACTTTAGACTCTTTCCCCGTCTCACACTCAACTTCCTGACCCACTCAAAGGTACTGCTTATATTTCCTCTCTATTTCTAGTTGCTTCCACTGAAATCCCCTGTGGTGAGTATGCAAAGTGGGATCCAGCATAGCCCACTGTTTAGCATAGTGTATGCCATGTGGCAAGTGTTCCATAGATATGGGATGATACTCTCTACCAGTCCTGGCCCTGTTTGTCCTCCCTGAACCCAACCTCCCCCCACAGCCCCCAAACACACTCACTCACACACACACACACACACACACACACACACACACCTCTATATTGGAGGGCACTGATCTCTGCCACCAGTGTTTCCCAGGGTCTCCTTGCCTGGACTCTGGCTGGGTTTGGCTAATGACGTGTACTAGGGAGCTAGTACTGAGAAGGAGGAAGGGTATTTCCCTCTATGCCCCAGTCACAGTTAACCTTTCTTAGCAGCAGGAACCTCCTCCTTATATCCAGCTCCAAGCAGAAAAGCCTAAGTAGCCCCAGTTCCAGCAGTTCCTAAGCTCTGGGAACCCCACTTCCTCCATCCCTGCAGTTCTAGGGAAGGCAATATCTCCTTGTGAATTACCTTTAAGCTATGTTTTTCTCTCAATTCTCAATTTTGCCATCAACTTCTTCTCAATTTTCCCATCGACTGTATCACTTCTCTGTAAATAATTCCCTCAGCTATGTATACTTCTGGTAGTTTATAACATGCTATTTAGACCCCCATTCAGACAGCATCTAAACTCGAGTTAAGAGTACTTCATTCTCCCATGTTCCATCATTCACTGGCCATGTAGCCAATCAGTCTTCATGATCCTAAGTTTCTTTATTTATAACAAAAACTAATCAAACCCATCCCACTGCTCTCACTAGATCATTGTAACAATCCAGAATGCATCCATCAAGTACTTATGGAGGCCCTGCCACATGATACGGCCTTTCGGAGATGCAGGGTATGAAACAGGCAACAAGACTGGTAATGTCCCTGCCTTCAAGAGAGTTTCAGTTAGTAGCAGTAAATGATCTTTAATAAGCCACAGACTGTAGTGTAAGTTTAACAGGATAAACTGGTTGACCTCCTTCACCCCAGGGAACCATTAGGGACGCCTAGCATTCTCAGCCTCCTCGCTACAAATTCTACACTTGACCTGGAGTCAGATGGACTGGCTGGTGGATACAGTGATCGTACAACATTAACACAGTGATCTGCATAGTGATTTCAGGGCCTCTTCCCCATCATATCCAATCAGGATCTTCTATTTGCAGGGTTTATTGGTGTGTCAGAACTCACGCTCATTAATTGTAAAGGATTATCCTGATTCTTCTGTGGTTTTTATTTGGTGTTATTGAAAGTAAACATGCTATTGACTAAACATTGTAAGTCTTGTTTATGCCTGGATTGTGTTTGAAGAGGTATCCTCGGTAATATAATTTTTGGTTATTGATAACCTCTTTTATAATAATTTAGTCAGCCTCATTTTAATGATAGTATTGATAACAATATGTGTCTGACAATCTATGTGTAACAGTATCCCAAGAAATGAAGGAAAAGCAATATGTGCTGCTGAGGAAAACAGATAAGCTTACTATTTTTAAGCAAGCATAAAATAGAGCATATTAATTCAGATTCAATACTTTATGTCCTGAGTATATTTATATTGTCTCTCTTGCATTGTGCTATGAAGCATATATTTCCATCCTCATGTTAATAATGAAATCACTAAGTGTTATGGAAGAGGCAACTCACTCAGTTAAGTAATAATAAAATCAGTATGAAGAGGGAAGGTGAGGGGAAAGAGGAGAAAGTACTTTCTGGTCTCTTTTAAGGTTAGTAACCTCCATGAGCCTCGGTTTTCTCATTTGTAAATAGTAATGGTAACTGAGGGCACTGCTGAGGGTTAAATGGAAGAGTGGCATGGTACCTGATATGAAGGAGGTTCTCTAAAGGAAGAGATTGCTGGTTTCTTTCCAAAGTTCTCTTACCCACAATCCCTTTCTTTCTGCTCTCTCTGCAGATGACCATTCCAGGGTGAGGTTACTGGTGCTGGATGGAGACCCACACTCAGACTATATCAACGCCAACTACATTGATGTAAGCATCTTGATGGGGCTGGGCAGTTAAGGTCTGGGGCTGGCTGTGCAGGCTCAAGATCTGTGACTGTCCCAACTGTTCCCCAGAAGGTGATCCTTATAGAACATGTTCAGACCAACCCAACTCCTCCCTAATTTGCTTGACCTAAGTTGATCATCTACCTAAGGCTACATCCTCTTGAAGACAGTCTACAGTAACTGCTCTGTGAAATCCCAAGACAATTTCTGGTTTTATTTATTCACCCCATCTGTTAATTTGTATGTATATCTATGCATTCATTCATTCATTTGAAGGTGCAGTCATTAATGCAACAAACAATTTTAAATGCTGACAGTATGCTAGATATTTTGGGAACCATAAAACTAAAACTATCATGGCTTCTACTCTAAGACCTCAGAACAGAGATAAGCTGTGCACATCAATAATTCCAGGGCAAGCTAGAAAGTGGTAAAATGTCACAGGTTCAGATAAAATGCTTCAGGGATTCAGAGGTAGGGAAAAAACACTGCTTCTTCCATCCTTCATCAGGGATGTAAAATGTAATGTGAGGCAAAGCTTCACGCACAGTAGAATTTGAAAGTGAAGAGTGGGGAGATGGGCCTCTGGTTAGACAGAACAGCACAAACCAAGATAAAGCAGCTGGGAAGGAAGTAAGCAGCAGCTCTGTGTTAGAGGAGCGGAGAATGTATGATGGGAACATGGAAAGCACTGTGGGTACTAGATTATTGGTGGCTTCAATAGTCAAATTTAGGAGGTAAGAAAGTTTTTGATTAAAAAATCAAGGAAGTTATTAGTTCCGGACTGACTTTTTGGATGATTTACTTGCTGCCAAGGACAAGAGAGATCAGAGAGAGAAGATTCTAGAATTAAGACAACCAACAAGCAAAGAGGCTGTTTCACTATTCCAGAGATTACTGAGGAAAACACTTAAAGCAATCAGGAGCCAAGGAGGATGCACTTGGAAGTGAGAGAGTTTTCAAACCTTGAGCATGGATACTGTGGTCAGTAGATATCTCAGCATGACTGATTCAAGCCAGGCTTCTCTGGACCTCAGATCAAGGCCCAATGGTCTTGGAGATCCACATTGGTTTCTTAGACTTACAGATATATTTATTGACATGCTATAAAATGCAGTAGTATGCTTTGCAAATTCCCTTATAATCTAGGCTGGAGTAAATGGTTCACTAATTTAACAAGTGTTTATTGAGCTTTGTAAGGGTCTTTGTTTTCTCAAATCTCTTTCTTATCATTCTCTGATCTGCTTTTCACTGCAAATACGAGTATTTGTGTAGATGTGAGCATCTGTGTGGTGTATGTTGAGGTGAGGATCTGACTCCTTCAATGAGAGACACAGCTAGAAAATCAGAGGATGACAGGAAGAGAAGGCAGCATATTCCCCCTCCTCTCTCCCTTCTTTGATAGCTCCAGGGATGACTCTATCCCATTTGCAGCTCCAGCTTTTCTCCAGGCCCATTGTGGTCCCATCTGTGTTTGCCCTTGACCTGCAGCTCCAAATCATGGACTCTGATAACTTCTCTGTCTCCCGTGGCCCCACTAGATCTTAGGGTGGTCTCAACTCCTGCTGCTGTCAATCCTGGTTGCCCCACTCTTCCATTTGGCATCTTGTCTTCTCCTTTATCTGTGTGATCAAGTCCCCATGCTAAATCTCTCTGTCTGAAATACCTGGAGCATTTTCTATTTTCCTGCTGGACCTCGACTAACAACCTACTGTGTGGCCAATAGGATGGGGCTGAATCTTCACTGGAGATAAAGAGGGACAGCCTGGGTCATCATGGCCTTCCTAGAACAGTTTACAAGGAAGGTCAGTTTTCAGTAGCATGTCTCCAACAAGACCAGCGCTGGAGGCGTTCATACTCATGTCACCAGACTTTCCCTCATGAATTTAATACTTATTTTACAAAGATCAAGCAGAGCCTATGGTATACTAGAAATACTGGCCTTTCAGTCCAGGTTCTCTGACCTAAACAACTCTCAGTCTGGTAAAGGGGTCAGGTAAGAAAATAGCCTCAGGGAGCAGAAGCTACTTGTATGGGTGGCAAGTGAAAGTCATCTAGAGGTGACACTGCAATCTTTCCATGGACAAAGAGCCAGCCAGAATAAGGACTTAGAATAATGAAAGAGTTGTTGATCTTTTCTCCTATAGCAACATAACCTCAACTAGCTTCTCAAGCTCACTAGATGAAGGCCATGTCTACCTATTTCTAGAGATTAAGCTGAGGCTCTTAAGGTTAGGTGACATATCCAGGATCATGCTGCAAGGATATGATGGAAAGAGGACAGGAATTTGAACCAGGAGTGTCCCTAAACATATCCTGCTACATGTGATAAGGACAGTAAGTAGCGACTACAGTGGTTTGATGGATGCTTTGAACAAGTCTACTTATCAAGACTTCTTGCTAACCCTTCAATATGGGTCTCAGCACTCCCACTTTCCAGCTGAGGTAAGAGAGATTCCAGAGCTCTTGCAAGGCCATGCAGCTCTTTAGTGGAAGAACCAGGATAGGGATCACATTGAATGACTCCCCATCCAGTGCTTTTTCTTTCTCCCTCAGCCCACTCCCTGACACTACCTTGTAGTGATCAATGCTTGTTGATCAGTACATATCTGTCCAGGTTGAAGTGGTTCCTTCATTCTTTCCCTACCCTGTCAATGGCTGGGATTGGATGTGACAATCCTGAGGATCACTGTCCACACAGAAACTCTCATGCCTGAGTTGCTGTGTCTGTCCAGCATTTATCATCTGACAGCTGAGTGAAAGTGTGACTGTGGTCAGAACCAAGAAATGTTGATGTTGTACAGATTAAGAGCTCTGCACAGATCATGCAGCTGGATAGTAGTCCTCTGCCTGACTAGAACACCCCACAGTCCCCTCCCTCTTTCAGTAAAATGTAGAGTGTTCAGATAGCCAAGGAGCCTCTGCCACATGCTATCTTAAAAAGTAGTGCTGAACCCTGAAGAGGGAAGTCTCATTGTCCCTTAGCATCAAGGGCCAACAAGACTAAAGTCATGAATTCAATACTTGTCTTATCTGCTGAATCCAGTCCCTTTGGATTACTAGTTTTGTGATTGTGGCTGGTCACTCATTTTGATATCTATAAAATGGAATAATAGTACCAGCCCACATGTATGTCAGTAACCAAGGAAAATTTAATAAGGGAGTGAACAGGACCAAATGAAACCAGGGTGGTAGGGTGTTGTGCCTGGGGATTGGCAGTGGTACAGAGCTAAATAGTTCTAGGTCTGGACAAGGGGTGAGAGTCTCTGTAAGGCAAAGGCTGCCATATATAATATATAGCCCTTTCATAGGAAGGCAAAGAGAGCCCATGCTGACCTGGTATGGAGGGACCTAGGACATTTGCCTCAATCTCCTACTGGGTTCTATACCTCTGCTCCCATTCTTGGTTGCTAAATGCTCCTCAAAGGAGAAGATCATGGGAACCCCTGGTACAGTTCATACAGTCATCCTTTCATAGCACAGAGCAGAGTGTAGAAGAGAAGGCAGGGAAAATGAAGACACAGACCAACTCCGCCTTCTTACAGTTATTTCAATGGATTGGAAAGCAGAGGAATCACATTAACTGTAACCCTAATGTATATTCCAGCAAAGTTAAGTTCTTGGAGTCTCCATGGGTACTCCTAGGAAAACACACACACACACACACACACACACACACACACACACACACACACGCACACACACTCCTGGTGCTTACTCTTTCATCCTAGTGTCTGCCTCAGCCAGAATTCCTCCTAGTTCTCCAAAGAGCTAACTGCTCATGCTAGAATCATTTTTATACAAATAGATCTTGGTGATTCATTGAAATAACTCTATTTAGGTAATGAGCTGGATGAGGCCAGCCCTGTCTGAGCCTCCAGAGGCTATGGCCTGAACCATCCCACTGGTGGGTTTGTTTGCACACCCAAATATGTATTGGCCACTTGAATTTGTTATAAATTGCCAGCCTCAAAATAAATATGGTATCTAGGTCCACAGTAAGTAGCAGATGTGGGAGTGCAGAGTGAGATGAATGCGTTTTGGATGCAAACCTCTTTCCCATTGCTCACAGACAGATGGAGGCAGGCCCAGTTGATCTGCATGCTGTGTAGGTAGAACTTAAATGAACTCAAAGTTCTTTTAAGGTTAGGAAGTTTTCTGCACTAACTCTTGGCAAATCCCCAGAGAAACCCAATTGAGCAGTACATTTCCTTTTATCTCCTCTGCTAAGGAGTCTTGTGGTTTGAATGCTTTCTCTTTGGGGACTGCGTGGGTTCTTGGAGGCCAGGGAGGATCTCTTTACTCAGACACAGTGTAGGGACAGGAATGCAGCATGCATGCATTCACTGTGCTTTTGTCATAGCTGATGGCCAACTTCTTGGTAGTGGGGACACAGCTATGCTGGGAACAATTCTGCTCTGGTGGAGCTCCCATTCAGCTGGGGATGACAGACAACAAGCACTTAAATAAAGAATAGTGTGCTGTCTGGTGATGAGTGCTGCAAAGAAAAGCGAGCCAGTGGAAGTGGAAATCAGACTGTGTGATCATTAGAAGGGCTGTCTAGGGCAGTGACTGACAGTGGAACAGAAGGATGGAGTGAGCAAGCAAACCATTCCATTATTGGGGCCATGCATGGCAGGCGTGGGAAATGACCAGTACTAATGCCTCTGGACAGAATCGTGACTGCTGATCCTGAGGAAGAGCAATAAACTAGTGAACAAGGAAGAGGGTGGTTGAAAGACTAATCATACTGCTGAGGATGAGATAGGGATTACAGGGATATTCAGAGGCCCAAGATAGGCTTAGTTAAGAAGCTAATTAAGCCCCTACCTTCTTAAAAAAAAAAAAAAACACTCTTCTGGCCTCTACCCCTGAGTCAATCACCATGTGTGCTCCACAAAGCCACATTTTCCCTTTGGAGGATCTTATTCAGTTTGTTGATGTCTGAAAGCTGCCCCAAACTAGACTCACCTGGTGCACTTTTGTGTTCCTAGTGTGTGGTAGTTGGTGTTTCATTAATACCATTGATTGAATGTTGAGTGAGCCAGTAAATGAAAAGCACAAAATGGTGAACCTAACCCCCATAACCCCACAACTGAAATATGAATGTTTTGCTCAGAATTTCATCTTGCTGACTTTCAGGTACATGTGAATCTTTCAAATCACTTTCTCTAGGATCTCTGGGTCTTCTAGCTCATGCATAAGGAAGTATCCCAACCTCACCTCAAAAGCATGTATATGTGTGAATTTCACCAACCCACCTTTGTTAAAAGCTGTGCCCACGCCAGGTGTGGTGGCACATGTATGTAATCCTAGGACTCTGGGGGCTGTGGCAGGAGAATCTCTGTGAGTTTGAGGCCAGCCTGACCTACAAAGTGAGTTCAAGACCTGTCTGAATTGCATAATGAAACCCTGCCTCAGAAAGACAAAATAAATTAAAATAAAATTGACACCCAACTTTGAGTGGCATGACCCATGCCATGTGGAGAAAAGTACAAAATACTCACTCCAGCTGATGTCACTGTGTTCATTTGGAATAGACACTGCCCTACAAAGGAGTTACCTCTATGTCACAAATGAGGTTACGATGAAGAGAAGTATAGCGAGTCTGGAACACGAGGTTCATAGGAGTGTGGGAGGGGACAGAGCAGGACAAATGAAGTGAGGCTAGAGATGAGTTTGGAGATAATTAGCCCCAAGCCAAGGTATGTGGCTCTTACTGTGAAGCAAAAGGGAGCCACTGCAAGAAACATACAGATGTGCAATAGGAAGTTCACTGGGACACAAACCAGCTGGGTTGTATGAGCCAGACTGGAGGCAGAAGGCCAGTAGGAAATTGACTCTGGCCAGGGAGGGCTGAAAATGAGTGATTGAAGGGGTGCAAAGACAGTAGAGCTGAGAAACTATATTGTGCCAGGATCTAGGATTTTCTCTTTCCAAACCTACTCCAGAAAAACCTGAGTCTAATTCTTTTGGTCAACCTGAGCAGCACTATCCATCTTAGAGGAGCAGACAGGTCTCTGTACCTCTCGTATTTCAGAGATGCACTCATTATTACACTAATGAAAGGAAATGCTTCCCATCCCAGCCAGAGTCTGATAGGCACTTGTAGTCACAGTAGGCTTGCACTGAATATTTCCCAAATAAATAACAAATAGAATAACAATAACAAAGACATATGTTAAATCATGGACTAGTCTCTGGTATGGCTGTCATAGGTCAATTGTCATTTCATCAGAACGACACTATGATTTAAATATTCTCAACCCCACTTTACTAAGGGAGAAGCCCTGAGGTACAAGAAGGCTAAGTAACTTGCCCTAACTACACAGCCTGGGAGGGACAGAGCAAGTATTCACACCCAGGCAATTGAGTTGGCTCATAGTAAAACACTACCATGCTATACTGTCTGGCTGCTTTTTTATAGCTTGCTTTTTTTGACATTTGCTCTAAGTGTCACACTGTAATAGATTCTGTGGCATTTTTTTTTTTAATTTAGGAGGCAATATTTGTCAACTGAGAGGCCTCACTAAGTAGAGAGACCACTCAAGCAAAAATCTAGGTGGGGCTGCTGATGGCTGTGAAGTTAACCTGACAGTTCTGGTCATGACATTGGCCTTGGGTTGATGCTGAGAGTCAGCTCCAGGATATGATTAGCAGTTGGAAAGTACCTAGTAAATATTTACTGAGCAACTGAAAAATTAAGATGGAAAGATGCCCAGCGGATTAATAAACTAGTCTTTGAATCAGAAACTGGATCCAGAATTTAGAGATCCACCTGTCTTGCACAAAAAGATGGTAATTTTGGCTTATTTCCTGAAGAATAAGTCCTCTGGCTGTTCATCTGGCCTATTAAGATTTGTGTCTAGATGTTCATCCAAAGCCTCATGCAGTCATGGAAAGGTAGGCTTTTCAGAGCGGCTTTTGTGATTGAGTTGTAATTCAGTGATGGGAATAAGCATGTGAGTGCCACATCTGCCCAGGAGGGGCGCCTTCATACAACATAAGAGGCATGTCCCCTCTTGCTGTCTCTTGTTTTTGTTGTCTTCCACCACCATGAATTGTTGTCCTTCTGCCATGTTGTATACCATTCAATTATGGACTGAAACCTCTGCAAACTGTGAGCTAAACAAATCTTTTCCCCTTTGTCAGAGTATTCTGGCACAATACAGAAGCAAAAAGTATAAAATGAATGGGTTTATTGAGTTGAGGACATGGAAGGGGCACACAACCCATGGCAGTTGGGCTGTCTCCTTGGACCAGGTACAGAGAGGCAGAGGGTTCTATGACCTCTGATTGAAGTGGCGCATGGGGCGGATATTGATGATGTGTGAGAAACTGATTGGAATTCTCTGTGCACGCAAACAGGAAGGGGAGTTGCAATTAGGGCTGAAGAAGAAGAAGCAGAAAGTGGTGAGCATTCCCACTTTGGCCTTCCGCTATGTTAGTTAGAGCACCACCATAATTGTAGAGTAAGTTATAGTCGGGCAAGAACCTTTCACCCTTTAACTTTGAGTGTCAGGTATTTTGTTTCAGCGATGAGAAAAGTAACTAAGACATACCCTTTTGGACAGAGAGATTGTTCAGTAATGTTGAGAACCAAAGCTCAAACTTCTGCTCATTAGTATATACTTCGTCTGTGTAACAAAAAAGGGAACTTAACATGCCATACCCTTATAGTAAAACAAAGAGTCACTTTCAAACTCTTCCTTGATGATTAGGATTATGGAACAAAAGGGCAACCCCACACCAGAGCCCAAAAGTCTTACGAAAGCACTGTTAAATGTATAGGGACATCAGAAGCTACTTTTGAATCAGCACCTAGCTTATGGCTCTCCAACTTCACACTTCCACAAGGTCCTCTCTGCACTCAAAACTTCAATTACAAGCCTGAGCATGTTGGCATGGAAAAGCAATGTGGCATCTTTCCCAGTTGTCTTTTTATAATTGTTACTAATGCAAAGAGTCACCAATAGAATTGTTTTCTTCTCTAGGTTCTCCACAGGGTCTTATAAAGTGTTGTGTGTATAATCATGGCTCAAGAAAGACATTTTGGTGGTTGTGTTCCATAAACTTGAAAAATCCTCTTCCTCCTCTTTTCAGGTGCATAAACAAAAATAATGCTTACTCAATTTTTGCTTCTTCCAGTCCCTCTGGCTCCAAGGAAAGTGTATGTTGACACCTCACAAGTAACTATAACAGCAACTGACATTTAGTGACTTCCTAAGTGCTTTACATTCATCACTGTACTTGATATTTGTCCTTTCTCTTAGAAATATCTATGACAATTCCCTGTTTGGCCTATGAGCAAATCAACCTGGGAGAAAATATTTATTAATCTTGTGCTCTTTACAAGCTTTCAGTGGAGACTCTCACTGTGCTTTCCTTCTGTTATCCAGGGGTACCATCGACCACGACACTACATTGCAACCCAAGGTAAGTTCCCTGCCAATCTGCCGCCTCAGAGAGACTCCAGGGAAGAGGGCTTTCTGAAAAATTACGCAAAGTTTATTGTCACCTCCACTTCTGTCTATTGGCCAACATCTCCTTTCCACTAACATACCATGGCTTTTTTCTAGAAGAAAGGAGTGAGGTTCCACTGACATGGAAATCAGAGAAAGGCAGGGTTGGGAAGCCTCCTAAGCTCCTTGAGAAGGAAAAAGTTGACAAGTTCAGCTGTAGGAATCATCACTAGGAAAAGGTCTGGAGGGAAGAGACCAAAGCAGGGATTACTGACAGAATTATCCTTCAGCAGGTGCTTCCAAAAGGAGCTAGAGCTGACAGTGCCTTATTTCCTGGGGCAGCCAGCTGCCCTAGGAAGCAACACATCAGTATGTTATCAGAAGGCTTAAAAATGGCTACACTAAGGGCTGGGGATTTAACTCATGGTGTGAGCACCTGCCTGGCAAGTGCAAAGTCTTGAGTTTGATCCCTGGCACAGAAAAAACATAAAGAAACAAATGGCTACCTCTTTCAAATTCTCCTGGGAAGAAATCCTTCAGATGATTATATATGTGTGCAATGATTTATGTAAAAACATTTATCAGTGTTATCTATAGTAGAAAATAGGTGAGGTATTGCAAATGCCCAGTAATGGTCAGATTGGTTAAACAGTGTAGTACCTCATGCTGTAGAAAATTCTGCAGCTATGAAAAAATACTATGCTTGTTATGAATTTGAGGGAATCAAAAATGTTTATAATAAATATTATGCCTATTACAGTAAATGCAGACAATTGTATCAAACTTTTATATCAATACATGTGTTCCTTTTATAATTTTTAAAATGATGACCCAGCACAATGAGAAATTACATTCTAAGACAATTTCTTTGAACTGTCAGATCCTACTCCTACTCCTTTTGTTTGTTTGCTTTTGTTTTGTTTTGATTTTTTCCTACTCCTTCTTTCTTATTCAAGCTCCAGTCAGACTCAAAATCAGGGTCTCCTGTTTTTGCAGTAACAGCTCTATCCTCTACCACCCCAATTTCCTTCCCTCTCTCATTGAGTTCCTTGAGCTCAATTTTTGAAAATTCCCTTGGGCACAGCCCCACCTACAGTGAAGATAAGGTAATGAGTTAGGAGAAAGTGGGGCTGGTGGGACTGAGCAAGATGAAAAGAGCAGGAGGAAAGGGTGTTCCAGACCTCGAGAGTTTGGGATGTGGCTTTCTTATTCATCGCCTGTCCTGGTCCCATCAAGCTCTCACATTTCTGGCCCTAGTCTCTGCTACTTAATGTCCTAGTAAGGACTAGCTGGCCTTCCTCTTGCTCATTTATGGGGAATCTTCACTGAGCAGCCTAGAGAGGCAGACCTCTGGGCTGCTACCTTACCCTCACAATTTCTAACACCTTCTCTGTTGGCAGGTCCCATGCAGGAGACAGTAAAGGACTTTTGGAGAATGATCTGGCAGGAGAACTCAGCTAGCATCGTCATGGTCACAAACCTCGTGGAAGTGGGCAGGGTAAGCCTCTCCTGCTGTCCCTTGGTAGATAGTGCCAGAGGTGTGCTACAGCATCTCTGTACCCTGCGCTGTGCTCAGTGCCCCCTGTTCCACTCTGAGACCTCCAGAAACCTCGGGGGAAGACAGCATCACTCCTGTTTCACATTCTAGTAATTTCCTTCCCTTCAAGTCCTCCATCCTCTCTCTCCTTCGTTCTCTATCAATAACATCATCTCATATATTTTGAGGAAATTAAAGCCATCAGATGTGAATGCCCTCATCATTACATCTAAAAGCTACAATCCTACTTGTATGTGCAATCATCTTCTTGTTCTTCCCTTCTTTTGTCAGGCTCAACCATAAGAAATGGCTACTTTTGTTGACCCAAGATTGTTGAATATCAGCCATTTCCTATGGTTTTGCTCAATATGACAGAAGCCAAGACTCTGTCCTTTCAAAGAAAAGCCTAGAGCCTTAAACCTAATTCTTCTCAATAATTTTCTCATTTCCCCCATCTCACTTAAATAATAAGTCTCTTTCTCGTTGCTAGATGTTCCCCCTCAGCATGTAGACATGCTCAGTACCTTCCACTTAAAAAGACATAACAGGCAAAAATGACTCTCCTGTCTCCTCTTCCCTGTTGAACTTCAATGACTCAGACAGAGGCTGTTTCTTCACTCTGTTCTCTTCTACCCACTCTGATGTAGCTACTCTGCATCTCACCAGCAGTGGTATTTGTTGATATCACTCACATCCTTCATGTTGACAAATCAAGTCGCCTCTTCTCTCTTACCATCCTCCACCTCTCGGCAGCATCTGACCCTTTGCTACCTGCTGTTTCTCCCCCGGCCTCTAAACCTTGATATTCTTGAGTGCTCAGGCCTCAACCTCCCTCTGTGCTCTAGTTGTCTCTCTCCTAGGTCATCCTAACTAGGCTTAGAAAAAGCACTGCTATTTCCAGTTTGCTTGTGACTCCTCTGTTAACAGTGGTATGTTTGTGGATGGGCTCCTGAGTTTAAAGGCAGGTGTACAAACACCAGGATTCAAAGGGCCTTTGCGTATCATATGAATTAACTGAAGAGTGGGCAGGTAAGTTTGTCTTAGAAAGAACCGGATAATATGTCCTGGCCATAGTCATGGGAAAAGGGAATCCAGGCTGTCACAATTCAGTCAAAAGATATGGATATCTCATGGCCTAATGGGGATTTTGAACCAAGTAAGACTTCATCCATAAGTTCACTATTATCTAACCCATTCCCCAGTTTTATAGATGAGAATCAGACCTAAAGCGTGGAGTAAAGACCCAGAAGTCACTCAAACAAGTCCTGTGTGTGAAATGTGAGACTTGAATTTCAATCTGGTGCCCATGGTTCTTGTGCTCAGGCTACCCAAGGACTCAGGCCCAGCTTGAAGCTACTGTGGAGAAAAAGACAATCAAGAGTTCGAGAATTCAGAGGCAAAATCCAGCCTTACAATATATCCCACATTAGAAACATATTCCTTTGGACACACTATGAATCCAGATTGAATTTGGAGAGGAGAGTAATCACCTAGTAGAACTCCTGCCATTGTCCATGTATTTGCCAGACATCTAATGTACATTAAATTTATCTCAGAACAATTGCACATGGAAGGGTTCCTGGTTGTTATTCAGCTGGCTTGGGTTTGCATCCTGGTTCCACCTCTCTTACACTTTGGGTAATTTTCTTGGTTTCCCTGTGTTTTAGATCCTTGACTGTAAACTGGGAAAAATAGTAACATCTAAGGTTATGGTGATAAGTAATTAAAATAATACATGTAAATTATTTATAGAACACTTAGACAAAGTAAGTGTTATCTAGTATTATTAACAAGAAGCTAGGGCTTACAGAGATTTCAGCACTTTCTGGATGCTACTGAATTTTACAACCAAGCAATCCATTTGGAAAATGAATCCATTTTCCCTCCAAAACCTGTTGCATTATATCAGTGTTTCCCTAAGTGGGTTCCACGGGATGCTAGTCAGCAGGATGCTTAGTGAGAAGAGGGTTCCATGGTTAAATACGTTTGGGAAATGCTGTGTCCTCTGCCCCTTTTGAAGAATCCTGAAGCATATTAGCATTAGCAAATTTGAGGAGCTAAATAGTCTTGTAGTGAAGCAACCTGTTGAACTTTGTTTAATCAGCATTTCCCAAACTCATTTGACCACAAACCTTTTTGTGTTTGTTTTTTGTTTCTTGTTTTTTACCTAACACCTATTAGCACCCAGCGGAACACACTATGGGAAATGCCACGCTAGGCCGTGCGGCGTCCCCCGGAATGGTAATAATGCTTTTGTTCTTCTAAGGGGAAAACATGATCTCTTTTTCCTCCATGGAATGTGACCTGTAGAGTCGCATGTGGGAATGCTTATTCATAGCATCTGCACCCACTTCCAGGGCAGAGAGCAGGTTCAGAATCTTCCCTCTGAGCCCAGCATTTCCATTCTTTCCCCAACCGAGAGGCTTCCTACCACGACTTCTTAATGACGACCCTCTCCTGACCGTTTCTGCTTCCACCCCCTAGCTGTTTCCCACCTTTTATTCTCATCTTTGCTCAGCTGATCTCACTCAGCTGCTCCAGCCTGATAGAGCAGATAAAGGACTCAGTCAAAAGTAGAAAACTGGCCACATGACCTTGGACAAGTCACCAAACTTCCAAACTTGAGTATTATTTTCATCTGCAAAATGGAAATAATACCCACCTATCTCACCTAGTTTTGTTTGATCACTTGTATGATAATGCTTTGGAAACGGACAAGGGGCTTTGCAACAGCAGATCCTACTATCATTTCTAATGACCCCAGTGCCTCTAGGAGTGAGGTTGGCCCTGTGCAATTTGCCAGTCCATGGCCATCTGAGCTCCTCATGGGCTGGAATGTCATTGAAGTTGTCCCTTGGGTTTATTTGAATAAAAATCCAGATGAGGTGGCTGGTCACAATCAGCCACCCTGTCACACATCTTTGTCTCTATCCTTCCTTGTCTCTCATTTGGCCACAGGTGAAGTGTGTGCGATACTGGCCAGATGATACAGAAGTCTATGGAGACATTAAAGTCACCCTGATTGAAACAGAGCCCCTAGCGGAATATGTCATTCGTACCTTCACAGTCCAGAAGGTAAGATTCCCTTGGTTGTGGGCAACCTGTCCAGGAGATTGACATGTCCACTCAGGTCATATAGAGACCGAAGATGATCTGTGCTCAGCTCCACACTTAATGCCAGGAACAGATTAGCTTTCAGGTCAGACTTAGATAAATACTATAATGGATCACATGTCTAGTGAGAGGGTTAAGTGAAATCCAACAGACAACTCAATGAAATAAAGGCATATCATAATAAAACTCACAGAGCAACATGAAAAAGATAAAGACAGAAACGCATAGGGTGATGGGGTAGTCAGAAAGGGCTTGGGAGTAGGAACTGGGCTGAGAATGAAGGGTGGAAAGGTTCTAGCCAATGAAAGAATGTAAGAAATAGCGCTAGCAAATGCCAAGAAATACGCAAAGCATTGAGGAGCAAAAACTCAATATATTCTAGGCTTTTGGTTTTCAAGCAGGGGTGACTTGGTCCTCAGCGGATACTTGTCAATGTCTAGAGACTGTTCTGCTCATCACAACTTGGGAGGAGGAAGGCTGTTACTGGCATCTAGTGGCTAGAAGCCAGGGGTGTGGATAAATAAATTACAACACAGAGCACAGCACAGATCATGGCAAAGAATTATCCAGCCCAAAGTGCCAATGATGTCAGAAATAGCCTATTCTTATGATACCAGCACTGAGAAAGCTGAGGCAGGGAGATCACCACAAGTTTAAGGTCACTCTGGTCTACATTGTAAGTTCAAGTCCAGCCTGAACTACATAGCAAGACAGTGTCTCAAAAAAATAAAAAAATAAACAACATGAGAAAAGAATGAGATCCCAAATAATTACTACCTTTATAATTAAACTATTACATAATCATTGCTATTACATTATATCATGTAGATGTCCCTTGATTTATGCAGAGATTATGCCCTGACTAATTGTGATTTGCAAATGCTTTTAACATGGCTAACCTACACAACCTTACAGATTAACAGCACAGTCTTCTGAGTGGATTGTAGAGTACTCATTTTTTATCCTTCTGATGGCAAGATTGAGTGGGACTTAGAGTTTGTTGTATCAAAGACAGTATCATACCACATACTATGTTACTAGTCTGGGAAGAGAACAAAATTCAAGCAAAATTCTTACAGGATCTGTATCCCTTTTGCACCACTGTAAACTCAAAAGATCATAAGACAAATCGCGTTAGGGATGTCTGTTTTTTAAGGCCACCTAAATTTACTGAGCACTTATTAAATCCAGTACTCTTCGAAGAGCTTTGTATAAATTGACTCATTTAATTCTCCTAGCAATACACTGAGGTAGGTACTACTTTATCTACATTTTATAGATTAAAAAATTGAGATACAGATTTTAAGTCAGGTAGCCAGATTTGCCCACATACAAGGTAGCAGAACCGGGATTCACAGCTTGGCTCCTGAAGCCCATTGACCATTCTGCTACATCATAGTTGTCATTTTCTAAAGTCTATCACTTTAATATGACTCATGGCCACGGGTTTGAGGATCCAAAAGGAACTGGGAACTTAAATGCTTTGGAAGATGTGCCCTTGAGATTCAGATAAGACTTCATGAGGACCAAAGCAGCTGCTATGCAGACTGGACTATGAAATGAGCCCAGTGACATTCTTGTAGCCAATACGTAGCCCAGACTGTATTGTTTGCTCCCAGAATCTCTCTCTCTTCTCCCCAGACTTGATGCTCTTAAAGTCTATTGACTCAGCTGGAAAACTCAGGAAGCTTGTACCCCACTCCAACTAAGGAAAATAAGAGGTACTTGGGTATTGTCTTTGGCCAAGTTCCTTAGAAGCAGAGCTGGAGGCAAAGATTCAGATGCACCTGGTTATCAAAGAGGTTCTTCTAAGAGAAAGAGGCAAACAAGAGAAAAGGGAGCCAGGTAGAGCAAAGATAGAGTCCCTACGAAGTCTAGTCTGGTCCTGACCCACAGGGGACTTCCAAAGAATAAACCACCCCACAGAGGCCAGGACACCAGACTTTTGTGCTCCCACACTATCAGTGCACCAGCTATAGCTGAGGGGTAACCTCTGGGATGAGCCAGCTCTTGTCAGCTGAGGGTATGTCTCCAGAAAGGAGGGGAAATGTGAGGTACTCCCTGCCTCTGATGTACAAACCTATGAGGAGGACCTGAGAGGGGAACCAGTCTCATCTGTCACATTTGTGGTTAGTTCTGGGATCCGAGTCAGGGCCAAAGACTGTAGTCCATCTTGAGACCTACACCCCGAGCATGGAGTCCTGGTAGGCTTGCAGGAACAAGCCATGCCAAGGTGTTAGGGTCATATCTTGGGTGATCTCTTTGTTTCTTTTTTAAACAGTCACACAAGGAGAGATACTTTGTTTGTTTATTTCTATAAATGGTTATAAGGGGAGAGGTTTACCATAGAGAAAGGTCCTTAAGGTTTTCCATAGGTCCTTAAGACCCTAAGGGGCTCTGGGATTAATTCAGCTTTGTGGGTTCTTCATGCAGGTTAAAGGCAGGCACTTGGAGCTTTAACTCTAAATCAACCCCTGAGTTGAGGAGCAGGAATCATAAACTGGAAGTGTTTTCTTTCCTGAAGAGAGGATAAGGAAGAAGAACCTTTGATCAGTGGCCTCAGCACAGGTTTGAAGGGCTCAAACCATGGCTGCTGGGTGAAACTGACTTAGAGGATAAGATTCTTCGAGCTTCAGCTCACCCGTTGCTCTTAACCACAGCCTTTGCTTTCTCTCTTCTGGTCAGACTCTGCCTCTCCTCTCACCCAGTCTTAGTCTGGGTTTCCTGGAAGCAGACCAGGAGGTAGCAGTGATCTGGATACACAGGTCCCATGTGAAGGAAGAGCTATAGGAGAAGGGAGGGAAGGAGACAGGACAGGATAAAACCAGGAGAAAAGAGCCAGCCAGGATGTGGTCTCAACAGGTTCTGCTGCTATCTGACCCCACTGGAGCCCTGCAGCCCAAACTGCTCTGTACACTTGGTCCTATCTGGAAACCAAGTGGTCTTCTGCACCTTAATGAGGATAGCTAATCATTTTGGCTCATCCAGAGCAGTCTTGTGCTAAAACAACACTGAAAATCCATATCTTAGGAAAGTTCTGGGCAAATGACAAAGACAGTCAATCACCTAGCTCTCTTACCAGTCACTGAGGGACAGCTGTGCTCTTCTCCCCTGGAAGGCACTGCTCTCTGAACAAAAGGACTATGGCTGTCTTCAGCCAAGACACACGGTACATGAAGATGGTTCATCAGTCTAAGGATGGAGACCTGAGTGAGTACACAACCGTGGAACATCTAGCCAAGTCCGTCCTCCATGGAGCAGCCGACAAATTCTTCCTAAAATTAAAGTCCAGTTATGAGTTCACTTTCCATGCAGCCACCTTTGTGGCCTCCCTGGGGATTGTTGGTACCTTAGAGATAAAAGCAAAGCTATGACTCAGATTCAGTCAAGGCCTCTCGGACCCAGCACTCCATTCTCCCACATGACCTATTCTCTTTTATGGTCCTCTAGCAGTGCCCTGGGCTCTTTGTGGTTCTCTACCCACAGCATGCCAAGTCCTATTCCTTTGTCCTCACCTGCACTATCTTTTTGCCGTGGTATCTTCTGGGTCTTCAACTCGGTAGTACCCATATGTTAGTATCATCAGGAGGTCTAGAGACTGTGGGGCCAGAGAGCTAGGGTGAAATTGTCAGTTTACAACTTGTTAGTTATGTTGTCATTTAGGCATGTTTCTAAACCTTGCTTAGCCTCAGTTTCCTCATCCATAACGTAGAGATAACATTATGAGTTTGACATGAGGGTTAAATGAATTAATACATAGAAGTGTTCAGAAGAGTAAATGGTCCATAGTCCATGCTTCATAAATTTTAACTAATTGTATTATTGATTTATTTTAAGATTCAAGTCAAGCATCACCTCCTCCAGGAAGCTGTGCCTGATTTCTCCTCCCTTCCCTGATCATGTTAGCTGAACCTTCTGCTTTGCATACTTTAATACAATTATCCACAAGGGAATCTTCCTCCCTAGCAATACCATGGACTGTTCCAGGCAAAGGGCGATAGATTTTATTTCTTTCTTCCTAGTCCCTAGCATAAGTGTTAGCATAGATAAATGATTGTGAATAATTTTTAACTGGAGGAATGAAAAATCATACTGTTCTTACTGCATAAACATCCTATAAGAACTTTGTCAAAGTGAGTCTCCTGAAAAAACAGTATATCACCCTCTTTGGAACTCAGAATATGTATTAACACACCAAAGGCTCTGGGTAGTCCTGCAATAAAGCAACTGGTTTCCCTTTAACTTGTTGCCCATTGTCCAAATGTTTCTGATCTCAGAGTCACTGTGTGGTAACTCTGCCAAGGCCTTGTCCTCCCTGGACAGCAGGGAGGCAGGCTCCTCTGCACGGTGGCTGCAGCTGCCTGAGTGCTTGGCTGGGTACACGCAGGCAGCAGCTGGAAGAACAGCGGCCCGTTCTCTCCTCAGAAAGGCTACCATGAGATCCGGGAACTCCGCCTCTTCCACTTCACCAGTTGGCCTGACCACGGCGTTCCCTGCTATGCCACCGGCCTCCTGGGCTTCGTCCGTCAGGTCAAATTCCTCAATCCCCCGGAAGCTGGGCCTATCGTGGTCCACTGCAGGTGAGTCAAAACCAAGCTCCAACCAGGGCTGCCTGTTAAGCTTTGATCTCTTACTGAGGATGCCATTCTCTTGTCAAGTGGCAGTGATACTCCTGATTCCAATGCCAAACCCTTTCTGTTGAGAAACCAGTCCCAACACCTAACAAGCAGCTGTAGTAGGAGTAGGTGTCAGTGGTATTAATGTTGCCAGGTGATAGTCAGGGTACTGACATTGCATCTGCTGTGTCTGCCACACGTGCCCGCCCACATTATTTCACTTTCTTGTGATCCACCCTTGAGAAGTGGTTGCTCTCATCATTCCTGTTTTACAGATGAGGAAACCAAGAGGTGCACTGTAAATGCAGGTGTGCAGTGGCAGAGCCAGGATATTTAACATAGTCTTCTCCAGACTCTCGCCCATAGCTCCTTAATGTGGCAGCAGGTGCCTCCTCTTCAGTTCTATCATTCAGTGGCTGGTAACATTAATAGAGAGTTAAATGGACAGTGTGAGGTTTTACTTGATTACAGAGAAGAGACATTTTCAGCTTTCACCCAGACAGTCATATTGAGAATGAGTGGTACATCTTTCAGTGCTCCTAAATGATGATGAAATACCCTGTCTAGGGCATGAAGAATTGGAGGAGAATGAACGTTCAGACCTAAAGGCCAAGTTGCTTGAGTTACCTTCCTTCCCAGGGGCTCTTTTTTCAAATGTGACCTTGGGCCCAGCCCATCCTTCACGATCTTCCCTGCATGATCAAGTTATCTCATCCTTGTCCTGGCAGTGCCCACATCCATCAAGGGACCAGAAAGACTGAGTAAACTGTGGATATCTCAGATCCAACTCCATTCTAACACAGCACCCATGAATCTTCTTTCAAATAGTAGATATACAGACCCATTTCACAGATAAAGCAATTAAGAATGTGACAGAAGTCTTCCAGGTGTGTCAGCATTGTGCATGAATTCTATGCTTTGTAACTCATAGCAAACTGAGGGCAGTAGCCCATGAGTGTCCAAGTCCTGTAACCCAAACAGCAGCCAGTATAAGGATGAGGGCAAAAGTGAGACAATAGCAAATATTTATCAGGCTCTCCACTATGTGCAACCCTGGCCATGGTCCTGTCTCTCCATAAAAAGTCTCTTTAATGCATCATAGGAGAGCAGTACCCACTCCTGGGCTAACAAGATTAAATGAGTTGGCAAATGCACACTACATGCATAAGAGAAGTCCTGACATACAGTAAGCACTCAAAACTATCACTTTTCTCTGCTTCTTACTAATACCTCTCCTTCCCAGACTGTTAAGCCTTAAGGATAGAAACCATGTCTTACTCAACTGCATATCCCCACTCTTAATCCCAGAAATTAGTGTGTTGTAGATGCTCAATAAATATTTGTTGACTATAAGTAGCAAATATTTATTGAGAAATCATTGTGCCGCTAGGCAAAGGGCTAAGCAGTTTGCATGCATTATGCTTTTTAAACAAAATTTCAAGCAATTCAATTTGCATATATTATTAATGCTATGAGGTAGAACTATTTTTATTATTATCAACACCATTTTACAAATGAAAGCAATGAAACTCAGAGAGATTAGGTCATTTACTTCAGGCCACCCAGCTAATAAGTAATAGAATCAGAATGTGATCCCGGGGATCTCTTCCAAATATCACCTGTTTAATTACTATGTGATAGTGCAGTACAACCTTTACAAAATCCCTGCCAAGAGGAGCAGTTTAGGTGCCAGAAAACAGACTCCAGTCAATGCAAGCCATGACATTTTGTAATGAAGAAGACTGCTCCTACCAGTTCAATTTCCAGATCATTGAGGGTTATGGTCCCCACTGGCCTATGCTTCTTGGATTTATCACCTAATATTGCTTTTCCATCTTATCCCATCTCTCTTTCTCTTTGCATTCCCTTTGATTTTCACATTGTTCAATAAAGACATTTATTTGCACAGAGGAACAAGATGTGAAACACAGCCAACACAGGCATCCTTGACAATTTGCCAGGTTCCCTTCCAAAACTGTGCACTTAAGGCAAATGTCTTATGTGTCTCTGGTTCAACATCGTCATGTTAGAATCCAGCACTAATTTGGGAAGGATTGGCCGTGCTCCATGGAGTCTCACTGAGTTCTCATGTTATTTTGTTCTTGGTCTGAGGATGCTCCTAATGAAAGCCATCAGAGATCAGAAATTGAATGTGAATCAGGAAATTGATGCCTGACGAGGTTCCAGGGCTATCACCTGCTCCGTTTTAATGATTTTGTTGGTTCATGGTTCTGGGGAAATAGGTACAGGTGAAGCCACATACAGGGCATTGGACCAGGGACTGCAGACTCACTCTCTGCCTTTGGCACAGCTCAGACAACTCATGTTTCTACTTTCTCACTCTCTCGCTCATTTCTCTTTTGTTATCTCTCTGTTGTTTGTTGTTTCCATCCATCAGTGCATTTGCTAAAGAGAAAAAAAAAGAAATGAAAAAAGGGAAGGAAGGGGAAAGACATATATGTTAGGCAACCCCAAAGTGCCAGGCACTATGTTAAATATTTCCTTCTATATAGGTGGAATATCTTTATCCACTAGGTGAGAAAACTGCTTTCCCACATACTGTGTAAGTCTGCATTATATATAATAAGTCCTATTTAAAAACAGTGTATAGGCACACATTCTGGGGTCAGACTGCCTGGGTGAAATTCCCTACTCTACCACTTGCCAGCTGTGTGACCTCAGGCAAAATAAGCCATGTGTGCCTCAATTTTCTCACTTGTGAAATGGGGTGCAAACTTGCTACCAAGCTCAGAAGGCGATTTATAGATAACATTTGCAGAGCCCTGAGAACATGCAGGCAATTATCAAGCACTAAATGGGTGTTTGCTAAGTTGTATAGCAAAACTAGTCAGTCCTGATAGGATGGCATCCAAAGGCACACATTACTCTTTCATTTCATAAAAGACAAAGCGAGCCTCTATGTTTGGTCACTTGCTTAGGCCTCTTCCATAGTGTTGATTCCAGTGGTTTTATGTTGACATCAGCGGCATATTTCCTGTCAGCATAACCCTCAGAAATGGAGGCCAACTGGTAGGACTGGTCCCATCCCAAGATCCTTAACACAGGTTTTCCTGTTTCTTCAGTGCTGGAGCTGGGAGGACCGGCTGCTTCATTGCCATCGATACCATGCTTGACATGGCTGAGAACGAAGGGGTGGTGGACATCTTCAACTGTGTGCGTGAGCTTCGGGCACAGAGAGTCAATTTGGTACAGACAGAGGTGAGTCATGGGAGACTAACCCAGCCAGCCACCTTCAGTCCTCAGTGACCAAGAAAAAGCACTGCAGGATGGAGAGACCCATAGATACTGTGGATATCTCAGATCCAACTCCATTCTCACACGGCATCCATGAATCTCTCTTTCTCTCTCTTTCTCTCTCAGCAACCTTTTCTTTCTGTCCCACTTCTCCTTGCTTGGTTTGTCATTCTTATAATGAGTCTGCATTCTGGTTCTAGTAAATACATTTTGTGCCCAGGCAGATCTGACACATGTGAGCTGCATGCATCATCTACCATGCAAAGTGAAATTAGCCATGGCCTTGGACACAGCATTCCTTCCTGGATCTGCAGTGAAGACTCTCATGAATAGGTTCACATTCACAGGACCTTGCTACAGGCTCTGAGCTAACTCACACAGGCTAGTATTTAGGCTTCTAGCACTACAGCCCCGATAACTGCTTTACTAAGCCCCCAGGTCCACACATGATACATTTGGAGGTATACTTTATATAGAGAAATAATCCATGATATTTTCAGGACAAAAGTCACTTAACAACCACTTACCATAAGCCTAAAATCCCAATTGCAAGTGCTGCCTGGTGGATTTAGAAAACTTTCCAAAAGGAATGAAACCTTGAAAGGTATTTTTTTAAAAAGGGGAGTGTGTGAAATTTCAGAATAGAAGAACAAGTACAAAGAATCAGGATGGAAATACATTTAGTACAATTTTGAGGAGCAGACCCTGAGACCAGCAGAGATTGTTTTGGAAGTAACCCCAAGGTACTTGGTAGGTAAGCGGGAGACAGAAGAGGGAAGGAAGCAAACAAAGAATACTTTATTAGGCTGTTAAACACTGTAGACACCTGGACCCTGGTCCTGCTGAGGACCTCTGACAGTGACGAACCTGAATCTCTAATTTGTCCATCATAGGGTGGAGGGAACTTGGGTTTATAACATTTGTGGGGCACTGAGAACACGCTGGCATCTTCTCCTTCTTTCATTGCTTGAGGGCTCCTTGGCTTTGTGACTTCTGGGGCTAAAGAAAGCTTTCCAAAAAGAATAATCACAGGTTATTAGCAGCACATAGCCTTTGGCAGGTAAAGGTAAAACTGAGATATGGGCAAGACACCAAGAACACCTACCGTGTTACATCTGCAAGTTTCTCATTTTTATCATGATTCCACTGTTCAGTCTTGTATAAGGACAAAACACACCATGGCTCAGGCAGTTACTATGAAATATGAAGACTTGGTCCTTTGGCTTGCAAGAGAAAAAGTATGGATTCAGCAATATAAATTCTGCACAGTCTCCTCGGTCACTGTTCTTACCTAGTCACCAATCCCGTCTCTCTCAACGGCACAGGAGCAGTATGTGTTCGTGCATGATGCCATTCTGGAAGCCTGCCTCTGCGGTAACACGGCCATCCCCGTGTGTGAGTTCCGCTCTCTCTACTACAACATCAGTAGGCTGGACCCCCAGACGAACTCCAGCCAGATCAAAGATGAATTTCAGGTATGGACAAATCTTGGAGACTGTCCTAGTCAGTTTGAGCTATTATAACAAATTTCCATTGGCTTCAGGGTTTAAATAATATATATTGCTTTATCACATTTCTGGAGGCTGGAGAGTCAAAGATCAAACTGCCAGCAAATCTGGTGTTTGCAGAGGGCGCAGACACTGTCCAGGTTTTCAGGTGACTGCCTGCTTGTTATAGTTTCACGTGGTAGAAAGCAGAGAAGAAAACTCTCATGTGTCTTTTTTTAGAGAGTACTAACATCCTGTGTAAGGGTTCTACTCGCTTGACCTAATTATCTCCCACAGAACCCACTGTCTAAGATGATCACCATGGCAACATGTGCCTTTGTGGGGCACACATTCAGTCTAAAGCAGAGATTCTGCCAACTTCAGTGGTGCTATGGACATTTGTGGGGTTTTCTTTGTGAGAACTGAGACATCCAGGGGCTTTCAGACTACAGTGCCAAGCAGCTGCAGACTGCATTCCAATGCACCAAACACACAGCCATGAGCAGCTACTAGCCAGTAACTCAGTGATAGCTGAGGCATGCATTTGACTATAATTATGTTGTTAGACTTAGGTCTTACTCAGTCCTATTGCAGGTTGTGGATGGAGACAAGTTATGCACCTAGATACAAATTTTATGCTTCTTTTTTCCCTGGAAGATCTCAGGTTTTCTCAGTTGATCTTTACTACCTGAAGGAAATGCAGAATCTTGGACCCCATCCAGATCTGTTTAAAAACATGCAATTTAACAGAATCTCTAAGTGATTATTGATCAAAATTTCAGAAGCATAATCCTAGAATACAGCTCAATCATAGCATATCTGTTCCTTTAAGTTCATATAGTTAGACTTGCATAAATTTCAGTCTCAGAGACCTAGACATGATTCACTGAATACAGCAAAGACAGACTTTGGCCCTCTATCTCAAGGCCAGTACGAGGGTCATGCTGGAATAATAAGAGTTGAGAATCAGACAGAAGGAAGTAAAGATCTACTTTGTCACACCCAAAGACATATAGCTCCAGGACTTGCTTCAAGCCTGTGAGGAAATGCTGGGCTGGCTCATGGCTCCATGGGCAGATACCCCAGGCAGATCAATACTTAGTGCTGCTTCAAATAGTCCATTTCTGAGGTAGAGCAGAGACAGTACAGCACATGCCTGAAGGATGGAAGGTAGAGAACTCTGGACATTGAAGACAGAATCTAGTCTCTATTATGTGGGACAGTTCTGGATTTAAATTGCAAGACTCCCTCTGCAGAGCGTAAGCCCTGCAGTTTCGTATCTCTATTGGAGCGTATCCCTTGGACGTCTCTTACTCACCCTGAGCTCCCTTATACCCTCATACAGGTTTCTTTATTTAAAAAAAAAAGTGCTGGTAAATCATTTTCCTCATTCCATGACACTTCAAGTGGTTTTTAGCACTCATTAGGGATTCCCTCCTCCTATACCTACCATGGGAGTTCTGGCTGGCCTATCTTTTAATGCAATATTGGCTGAGTTGAACAACTTAGTCCAACTGGCTGGCAGGAGTTGGGGCCCCACGTCTGAACCCAAAGGTGGGTGTGCTGCCGCTGTACTATTAGCATGTTAAAAGTGTTCCACAGCCCTCTGGCAAAGGCTCTCAACTGACCAGTCCCATAGCAGTAAGCAGGATATGATAGAACACCCCCACCATGGAGGAAGCATGGGTCCCAGGAAACAGACAGTAGGGCCAAGCTTAAAGGGTGGAGATAAGCAAGCTAGGCTAAAGTGCAACATCACTGTCCTCCTCTCCTCAGAAGCAGCTATCTAAGCAGTATCTACCTGCCTATCTTTTGCCCCACAGACACTCAACATTGTGACACCACGTGTCCGGCCCGAGGACTGCAGCATCGGACTCCTGCCCCGGAATCACGATAAGAATCGGAGCATGGATGTCCTGCCTCTGGATCGCTGCCTGCCTTTCCTGATCTCAGTGGATGGAGAATCCAGCAACTATATCAATGCAGCACTGATGGATGTAAGTAGAGTCCTGGCAGAAAACTGTTGACTGGTATTCCAGGGAAAAGCTTCTTCCCAAGGTGGCAGTGGCTGCACTTCAAGGCCCTGAATCCACCAGCTACCCTCTCCTTGCTTCTGGCCTCCTGGCTTTGAGCACCTTTGCTGATCCTGAAGACTCAGGCCCAAACCTAGACACAAGCTGGGATCTTGGCTCCTTGATTCAAAGAACTGGAAAGAATAGGTCAAATGCTTAAAGTCATTTCAGTGATACCACAACTAAACTGAAGTCCTATCATGCACCTCCTCCCATCTCCCACAGAGCCAACTCAACCTGAAATTCAGTTTAGGCAGCATTCTTTATGCAAGGGTTTGCTTGATCCCTGGTAACACAAGAAGGTACAAACAGATTCTGCACTGGCATCTCCCATTCATCTTCCCAGATGACTCCTGTGCAGAGGAGAGGATAAGAATGACACATAGTAGGTGCTCCATAAGTGGATAAGGCTCCATAAGCTATTGGATAAGTGGTGGGAAGCAGTAAAAGAAATAAAGAAGGAAGCAGTCCATGTCCCTAATAATCCTGTCAGGGCTGTCATCACTGCTTCCTTGACATCAGGTCCAAGGAGGGTACTGTCCCCTGCTGTGATTTGGAATTTAGGTGCTGTCTTGCCCTGGTGAGGCAAAGTTTCTGCCTCATATTCTTCACAGTTGGTCTTCCAGCTACTTCTGGTTCTCACCACCCCACCCTCCGTAATATAAAGATGTTTATGGCAGAGCAGAAACATGGATCATCTAATCCCATGCATGTAATTTCAGTAGAAGAAACTGAGAGTGGATTAAAAAAGAGTTATGCAAAGTCATCCAAAGAACCAGTAGCAAAGCCAAAACCAGAGTGCCTAGATGACACTCTAGAATTCATTTCTTGAGCATTCCCTTTGTTTTCTTGATTTCTGTAGGATGCAGAAATCTTGCCTCCTGAGGCTCAGGACAAAGAACAATGTTACCTGATTGGGGATGAACTGTTCCAGGTCCTCTTTCCCAGCCCCTCCCACTCTGAAGTGATGCCCAAGTAGTTCATGTGGCCCTCCCACAGGAACATAGGATATTCTCAGCTGAGCTCTTCTCTGTCTGACCTCTGATCCTCCTGAGATTTCTCCCTAAGGGTTTAAGGCGTTAGGAGCAAGGAAGTGATGGGAGACCAATGCCTACCTCACCTCTCAAGAGACCTCTCTAGGTTTTGCCCACGGAGTCTCATACACCCTACAAAAACCCTGGCTGTATGTTCAGGAGAAAAGAACATTGTCTTGATCATGTCAAATAGCTGAGACAGAGAAAACCTCTGGTTTAGGTTGACTTTCCAAGGTCAACATGTACCTGCGTGTGTGTATATGTAGCATGAATGTGCACATGTGTGAGTGAGATGACAGATGATATATAGAGGTGTAGCCACAATTCCAAGTTTCTCTGAGCTTTCCCCTAGTTGTCTGAACCAGTCCCTTCCTTCTTCATCCAAACAATGATCAAACAAGACACTGGCCTCTACTTAGTAGGTTGGATGCTGCTTGGAGTCAAATGCCTCCTGCCAAGCTCTAATTCTGATTGTATTCTTTTTGTCCACAAGGTATTTCTCCTATGAGCCATCACCAGGGCCTTTGCCTTCCTTATATTAAAAAAAAACTCTTTATCTGTATTCCAGCTCAGTCTGTGCATTATCTCGTAACTATAGCAGCTTTGCCTCGAGCAGAAAAAAATGAAGCCCTCTGGGTTAATTTTTAATGTTTCCCCTGGTAAAAGATGATGTTATCCATGAAATGGATTGCTGGCTGATCCCTGAAACCTGGCAGAAGCACAGAACTTGAACATATTTTCAGATAAGGCTTTGTCAGAGGTGCTGGTCTAATAGAGTGTTTATCACAGAGACAGGGAAAAAAGCAAAGAAAACTAACATTCCCTGAATGTTGGGCACCATGTTGCATCCTGGAATTGTACTGTTTCATTCTGCATCTGGGTATTGTTATCTCCATTTTCCAGAGATGCATTGAGGGTCAGACTTGTTTAATGTCAATCTTTTCAGAAAGGATAGACTCCAGGAATCCAAGCCCCATGGTTGCTGGGTCCAAAGCCTAGATTCTTTTCCATATCTGGAAATTGATCAGAAACCATGCTATCTATGACTAGAGAGTTTGATTTTTGAACAACTAAATGTTCTGCCCTCCCAGCCTCCTCTGACAATTCCATGGGCCAGGAGAAGACCCTCGAAAAGCAGGTCTCCCCGATACATGCATATAGCGTCCATGTTGACAAGTGATTTTCCAGATCTGCTTCCCCTTCCATCACCTTCTGACCTATGACTCTTCTGAAAACAGCTGAGAGGCTCACAGGAACTATCTCCCAAGAAAACTTGTTGAAAACACAGGATATTTCTTAGGTTTCATACACCACTGATGAGACTCTCCAGTCTTTCCGAATCCCTCCCCACAGAGTGTTATGACAACTAGGGCCCTGCTGAAGTTCCAGTACTGACACAGCTCATTTTTTTCTGGATTTCATGTCCCCTGTCTGAAATTGGAGGCTGAATTAATGCCTATCAATTCCTATTAATGCTTATTTGTTCTCCGTAGTTATACTGTGTCCCATGGGTGCCACCTGGTGTGCTAGTGTTCTGGATGAAAACCTAAGTCACAAGTGTTTGCAGCCTGCCAGTGGGCTTAGAGTCAGGCTCTTGCTTGTTGATGCTTTCACATACAAATCTCACTCAATTGTAGGATAACCATTTTCCTCTGAATTTACAGATTTCCATTTTACAGATAAAGGATCTGAACTTTGAGATCCATCTATTAATTTATCAGTGTTAACACACACACACATACATACACACTCACACACATACACACACACACACACACACACACTCCTCTAAAGGCACTCTACAAATTACAGTTGAATAAATAAATGGGTGAAAAATGTGTGAATGGATGGACAAATGAATGAGTGGATGGATAAGTCATACCTTACAAGGCTCTAATTCCTGGGTACCTTTCCCTGCCCCACTAACTGTAGGACACAGTGCCCACCTTCTGCCAGGCTAGTTCAGCCCTCAAACCAACTTGGATACAGGAATTAGCTTTGCAGTTTAAGCTCATTTGGAGGTCAGCCTGACCCCTCCCTAGAGTCACAGGCACAAGCACTCATTGGATTCCTAATATCCTGAGAGGTGTCTTGGTCAGGAGAGCAGCAAATCTGCATCCAGAATTTGCCATTTCATATTGAAATGATGATTATTTGCTGAGCTCTAAGACATAAATAATTTATTTGGATAAATCCCATCCAAGTGACACTTTCCTAATGAAATGTCTTAGTTTAGAGGAGAATGTGTTCATTATGAGAAGGTCTCCTTTGCCACCAGGGTACCAAGAGATAACAAAACTGGCAGGTGCTTTATGAAATCTATTTGGCAGGCTCAGGGCCTCTGGCAGCCATCCGGGCCTCATCATCATCAGAGTATCACTGATGGATATGTATTTTACAAAGTCTGTCATTTCTTTGTCAGAGTCACAAGCAACCTGCCGCCTTTGTGGTCACCCAGCACCCTCTACCCAACACTGTGGCAGACTTCTGGAGGCTGGTGTTCGATTATAACTGCTCTTCTGTGGTGATGCTGAATGAGATGGACACTGCCCAGGTAGGAGAGGTTCAATGGCTGCCCTAGATGGACCCATTTGGGTCAGATGAGCCATGCTGTTGACTTGGAGGGAGGTCCTGTGATGAGCACTATGATGTGCCCTGTGATGGGCACTGTCTGGTCATGTGTACCAGAGAAGTCTATTCTGCTGACTGCACAAGCAGGGAACCTCTTGTCTGATCCTCTGCACAGCTACTACCAACAATGACTTGGGCTGCCTTTTGAACTTTGTCCAAATGTACCCAGGGTTGCTAACATTGCTGCATGCCTCAGGCATTGGTTAGGCTCTTACTATAAATTTTAGAGAGCTTATAGAGCCAGGAAGTCACCTCTCCAACACTAAGTACATATGGTTCTAAAGAATACTCAGTGATTGGCCACGCCCACCAGCACTGGTCCCTTTACCTTGTACCCCATGCTGCCAGAGCCTGAACCTCAAACCTTGGAGGCTTTGTCCCTGAACCACCATCCACTAAAGCCCTGGCTTCATTCCTTAGCTCCTCTGGGTTTGGCAGCAGCAAGCATCATAAATCTACAACACATGTTCATACTTAGGACACAGGACCCATGTCTTAGGACAGTTTTATGGGGCTTACCCTTATTCTTGGTTGGAAAAAGTGAAAATTGCCTGTCATTTCACTACCTTGAAGACAACTCAAAGCAACTCAGCTCATTCTTGTAGGAATTTGGGCCTTGTGTAGACTTGGTGGGAATAAACAATATTTTCAAAAGGATCTGAGCTATAATCTCAGCCTCTAGGAACTCACAGTCTTGCCACAGAGACATATGAGTAAATTGTCCCTGTGTCCTGTGGCTGTGCTATAATAGAGGTCAACAGCAAAGTGTTCTGCTGACCAGGAGCAAGGAACAATTAATTCTGCCCAGAAGGTGAGAACAGACTTCAAAAAAAAGGTGACTTTGACCTTGAACAAGGTGGAGAGGGGGTTGAAGTGCTGGGGGATGAATTAGCTGGAAAGAGGCATTCCAGAGCCAAGTGTGCTGGCACTTGCCTGTAATTTCAGCATTCTTGGAGTCTGAGACAGAAGGATTGCATGTTTAAGTCCAGCCTGGGTAATTTAGCAACTTACTGAGACTCCGTATCAAAATAAAAAATAAAAACAGAAAAGTGCACTGTAGTTTGAAGGCCCTCAGTTCAATTACAAGTACTGCAAAAAAAAAAAAAAAAAAAAAAAAAGTATGGCAGACAAAAGTAATAGCATGGGGCAAAGACAAACAGGATGAATACATATAAGCTTCTGTTCCAATGTCACAAGGGCTTGGGGGATGTCCAAAAAGAAGTGTGTTAAGGCTAGAGAGGCCAGCTTCCAGAGTTCCCTATGCAGGACTCAGATGCTCAGGCTTTGGACTGCAGTCTCATGTCAGACTTTTACTTTGTAAAGCACAGGATTCTTTCTAAAAAATAAAAGCTTTCATGCATAACCAGTGTATGAAGAGACATAACCAAGAGCCAATCATTTTGAAGTAGGACTCAGGTGTCTGGGGTTATACCCACACTGGCCTTTCATCTTCTAGTGGCTGTGGAAACTTAGTCACCCTGGGTTCCTTTATGAATCCTAAGTTCCTAGGACAGTTACAAAGTCCTGGATGTCCACTAGGGAGAATTTCTGAGAAATTAAGTGTGGAGGGACAAAGCCAGAGCTCCTGTTAGAAAACCAAGTCCAGGACCAAGGAAGAAGAAAGGCTGGAGCACAAACTTGGGAGCCAGAGACTGGGGAGGAAAATGCAGCAAGTGTGCTGATCTGAGCTAAGAAAGTGGCCAAGAGGTTGGAGAACTGGAATTCAGTGTGAAAATGTTTCCATTTTTGATATCTATAAGATTTGGGGAGCAGTTGCATGCGTGAGGTGATTAAGAAAGAAAAGTTAGCAGCTGTCTCATCTGAGCAATCGTGTGTCCAGGGAATACCTGGCCAAAATGGAAAGACAGGAGGGTGCAGGAGGTAGAAAAAGGAGAGGAATAAGTGTGAACAGAAGGGAGTCCAACTCCGGATGTGCCTGTGAGAGACATCCAGGAGAGATTCCTTTCATTCACGTGACTCACGGTTGTTGAACATCTGCTACAGCTATTTGCTGGAAACTATCATCGGTGCTTAGGATGCATCAGTGAACAACACAGACAAAATGAAACAGGAAAATTCCCATTTTAAGTGCACTTTCTATTTCAAAGTGAGGAGACAATAAACAACATAATACCCTATAATGTATTTAAATGTATGTTAGGCAGTTATAAGAATATGGAAAAAGACAAATTAGAGGCCAGCATAATGGAGATCAGTAGGCTGGGTTGGAGCTCAAGATGTAGTTGTAATAGGGTAGTTAAAAACTCAAACTTTAAAGATACAACAAACTAAACCGTGTCGCTCTCCCAGGGAGTGTCCCAGGCAGAGGCAGCAACCTGCACCCAGCCACATAGTTAACACCCATCTGGGCACCTGGTAACCCTGAGGAACAGCACTAAGTCTCTGGGCCAGCAATAGAGTAAAGGTGAGAAGAAGAGCAATTGGTGCCATCAAAGACAAGGACAGGTCGTGGAGGATGGTCAAAGTCAGGAAAAACTTGAGGTTTCACGCTGAGAAAAGGGAGCCACTGACAGACTTAAAGTAGAGTGTGTCATAATTTGACATCTTTTCAAAGCATCCCTTGGGCTGCTGTATTACCAAGATACTCATGTTGAAGGGTAGATACTGATAGTAGATACAGAACGGAGAAGAGGCTACTGTAATTATCAGGTGACAGGGGACAATGACCAGAGCCAGCATGGCAGGAAAGATTCCTGACATCTTGAATATGGAATTTGAAAGATAAAGAGGAATCAAGGATAACTCCAAGGTGTGGAGCCTGAACAGTGGAAGGGTAGAAACTAAGATGACTATGAAAATCGTGACTTCTCATAGAGCTTTAGAGCATTCTCTGCAGAGTGCAGAATCAGAAACGATTGCCACCCATTTCTTTGCCTGAAAAAGTAAAACAGAAATCTCAGCTCCATGTGCTAGGTCTATGGAAGCCCATTTTCTCTACCCTTTTCCCAATATCCTTTTTACAAACCAGAGCTCCGACGCAGAGCAGGAATTTCAAAAACCATTACTGTGTAACATAAAAGGTCAAGGTCATTGGCGACAGCTGTGCTTTTCAGGAAAGGTCGTGGGTGAATGAGGGATCTTTCAGGCCCAGATGTTGATACAGCCTTTGAGAACTGAATGGCTAAATGCAAAACATCAGGTTCAGAAGCGCCTTGAGGTTGGCTGCCATATGCAGCTGGCAAGCATCCCTTGAAATCAGCAGATGAATAGAGCACTTATTGATATAAATATCATCACTACAGCAGCTGGGCGCCTTGCGAAAATAAACAATGACACAGCAGGAGCATCAGAAAAGCCGCCCTCAGCACCTGGAGGGGCGGTTCTTTGAAGTGGCATCAATATTTGTCTGCCAGAATGTTCCTGCCAAGGCAGCCTATGGGATGGGCCAGCCCAGCCCCATGGACCATGGGCCATCTGCCTGCAATGGACCTGTGCTTTGCTAGATTGCTCTAAGAGGAACATATTCTGTGGTTTGACCATAGCCCATAAAGACTCATGCTGGGGGTTGGGCAGGACACCTGCTGGTTACAGCAAAATTAGGACAAGGAATGATGTAAGCTTTCAGGATGCTTTATTTTCCTGTACCACTGTTCCGCTTCTACTCAGAATCATACACTACTTCATTCAGTCAGTCCTCCCAGCCCCAAATAGTCTATTTTGCACAGCAGCTGCTATTCAAAGATAATTATGATCAATGAAGGCTCATGACAAAGACTTAAATTTCTGCATGCAACCCTAGAGGTTTTTCTAACTCTTTATAACTCCCCAGCCCCCTGTCAGATTAGTGAGACAACATTCTAGTACCACAACATCCAGCAAAAGACATTGTGTTTCCTCAGACTCATCAAAAGATAATTTCAAGCATATCCACTTTATACACTCTTTCCATCCTGTAGGCTCTATTGATAGACCAGAGTCCATGGGGGAGGAGTTACAAGGAAAAAAATCCTTTCTGCTGTCATGTCACATCATAGCATTTAGACAGCTCAGGAGATCCTCCATCCCAGCCGTGAGGTAGGCATGGTAGACAGAAGCATGGTCCTCCCAAAGACATCTACGTCCTAATCTCTGAAACCTGTTGCATTAATTAGCTTTCCTATCACTTGAACAAAATACCCAACTCCCCTAACTTAAATGATGAAAGGTTTAATTTGGCTCATAATTTTGGGCGATTCAGTCTATGATTGGCTGGTTCTATGGTAGTGTCATGATAGAAGGGTGTGGCAGATGAAATCTACTCACCTCATGACAACCAGAAAGCAGAGAAGGGAATATCTTCCAAGAGAAATGGGTGAGGGAATATATATACCATGGCCCACTCGGACACACCCAGGAGCAAGATTTACTACTAATCTGCTAGGCATTTCTCAATCCAATAAAATTAGTATATCAGTCACACTTGCAAATATGTCATTTTACATGATAAAAGAGACTTTATAGATATGATGACCTTAAGGCACTCAAGAAATACAGACTATCTTGAGTTATCCAGTTAGGTCCAAGGAAAGGGATTTTATAAGAAAGAGGAAGATGGATCAGAACCCAGGGATGGTAATGTGAGAATACAGCAGGAACTGGAGAGTGATGGCCACAAACCCAAGAATGCAAGCAACGTCTAGAAGTGGGAAAAAATGAGTTCTTCCCTAGAGACTCCAGAAAGGAAAACAACCTTGCTCACATCCTGATCATAACCCCTTAATACTCATTTCATAATTGGGACATCTGGACTTGCAAAATAATAAATTTCTATTCTTTTAAGGCACTATGTTTGCGGTGATAAATATAGACAGTAAACCTGAAACCAAAAATTCAGACCCAGAGTAATAAGGGTAAGTAGAGTAGAATAGAATATGAATCTAAAATGATGGTAAAAGCCAGAGTCAGCATTGCATGTTGGACTAG